GAATTACTTATCGTACTTTTTCGTTCTTATAGGTAAGTACCATCAGTGAGTAATTTGATAGTCATTACATGTCCATAATTACCATAGAAGTACGTACTAAATTTACGTCCTTCTAATTCACTTGCACGTACGAGTGTCCGGCTCACATTCTCCCAGGACTCCCCGGCACCAGTGTGGACCCGGGCCCAGATCGTCACCAACCTAATCGTATGTTGTTCGTTACGATATATGATTTATAAACCACTTCGCAACCCGCTGTAACGTCGAACCGTTCAATTTCTTTTTTCAACTGGTAGGTGGGGAAAGACCAAATCTATGTGGCTGGGACGCTCGTTGCTATTTCATTGATTTAGGTTTGTTGTGGGTATATACGCAGTGGTTGTCCCACGGTGCAAAAATAGACGGATTCACGATTTACGATTATCGTTATTTGGTTAGGAGCTCCTAACTAAAAGATTTTAAGTGAGTTATTGAAATTGTAAGTCAATCCACACAACACACACCTGGAAGACGACGAAACTTTCTCTCCGACTATCTGTCCAATATAAGTCGTAGCTCTTTCCTGCTGTGTCTCTTCAACACGGTCCTCAAAGGCCACGTACTCCGTCCGTGTCCACTCATGTTTATTTGTGTCTCGAGTATAACTACGTTACGTTGGTATCGGGCACGATACCCGTAGGTGAGTAGTAGTAGTAGTAGTAGAAGAAGAAGAAGAAGAGAAGAAGGAAGGAAGAGAAAGCACAAATAACCGCCAACCGTTGGTTGACATCCACTAATGGTTTTCGGTGGTTTAACCTGACCTTACACGCTATTCATGATGACTCATGTACCCTTACCGTAAAGTGTTACCATACAGCCTATGCTTTCAACATGTATAAAATCTTTCAAAGCTTCGCCCATTCACTTGAATGGGGTGACATAGAAGATTTTTAATCTTCGCCGAACTGCATTGTGGGGAGCGGAGAATGGCTTTGCAAGCATCGCGAGCATCAAAAGTTGAGCAATGTTCAACTTTTGATGCTCCTGGCATCAGCCAATCAAATCCCGTTTATGCAAATCCCGCCAGTGCAAGCGCTAGCCAATCAAACCGCGTGCAAGCTGGGAGAGCCAGACCGCAGTTCATTTCCTCATATTCCAAACGAGAAATTACGGTAGCAAATCACCCGGTTCTTTACGACCAGAACTATTTACCGGGATACAAACCGGAGGAACCAGGCATGTAGGGAGGTGGCAGAGACAGTGGGTGAAACTGGTAGGTTTTCGCCTGTTTGGGGAGTTTATATCCAGTTTACTTCGTTTTAACATTGTTATTGCTTTGTATGTCGGGTGCGGGAGATTCATGTGATTGGTTGTTGGTCGCGTTGCTTGCAAAAAATCGCCAAGCTTCAGACACGCCCAGTAACAAGATTTTTTTTCATGCCTGTGTGTGGACGGGCCGTAAGTGTCAGCTCTACCACCATCAGCAGGCAGTAGTGACCAGACAGACTGGTAAACAGCTTTTGGGTTCATCTCCTCACTTTTGTTTTATTCTCAATATGTGTATTGCACAGTTAAATAATTGATCAAAGACTTTAGAGAAAGTTAATCACTCAAAAGTACACACAAAAAAGCAACTATCGGCAATGTTGCATTAACTAAAGTAATGTAATTAGCCTACCTTCATCCCTGCTGCTGAGAGTTAAGTACACTTGAATGTGCTATTTTGAAAACACCTTTTTGCTATAATTATGGACAAACATTGTCATGTATCTAAATATTTTAATCTCTTTTTAAAGTACTCAACAGCAAGTACAAAAATGCGCTACTGAATTGACTTAATTATTATTTATGGTATCTCAAAATGCCACAGTCAAGGATAATTTAATTGGCAAATGTGCTTTTTTTGCTGACTTGATGAGATTTAGAGAACATTTTAAGTTTTTAAGTCTCATGTCTGAAAGTGGTATCAATCTTTTTAACTGAGTATGAAAGTAAATAAGTCTATTTCAACATCAATGTCAGCCTGTTAAGTGTATTCAAGTGTATTTTATGCCTTATTACTTAAAATAACATTAGTCAAATATAACAATAATTTAGGTACATATATTACATCGCACACTTTTGAATACAATACAAATACAAGTTTTGTGACATGTGTACATGAACATGTTAAATTGGTGGAATATCCATACATGAAAAATAAAACCCGCCACATGTGATCCATGTTATAAAAGTTCTCATTTATTAATTTATTATACAGCATATTTGTTAATAAAACATCTGCAAAAAATCAAAATAAACCTCCCTCTCTAGATGCTGTGTAACAAGCGTATACAACCGAGATGATTTTAAAGCACAAAAGCATCTCTCAGACTTTCTTTGCATAGACTGCACCACCATTTCTCTCCCTCAGACACTCCTGTCAGCTTAACAAGCCCGCACAGCACGGAGCACTTTACTGACCCCATTTAATTCCCTATCCTCTAGAGTTTACTTACCCATGGGCCTCTTCTGTTTGGAGTCTACTCTGTAAAATGGAAGGCAAGTGCATGACTAATTGCGCTAATTGACCTGAACTCTTTTTGAATATGATATTTTAGTTGTCACTCCACTGCATTTTTAAACTGTTTAATACAGGGCAAAGTTTAAAGGGCCATCGAAAAACCTTTGGAGGCCTTGACGCTACATATTTTCCTCTTTGTGGGGTTTTAAAATGAAAAGTTATCATATTTACAAGCTCAACGTTTTTTGATAGAATATTCCAAAAATACATGATAGCTGATTTTCATTCCTCTGAATTGGTCCATAGAGAAGATTATGATGAGAGTCCGAGGTTATGAAGCATCTATCTGGTCGTCTCTGGTGCTCGTCAAATTAACAAATGCCATAATCCGTACAAGTAATCCCTCAAGTAGTCGCCATAATTCATACATCTTTGAGTTCATTTGAATGTCAGTGTTTATTAACATAATCACGTTTTGGGGGAAAATGCTTTAAACATTTTTGGAAGGTGTTTTCTAATCATGTTTAAAGGTTGTGAGATTTAATACAGCGGTTGGTGATTAACAAAGCATCACTCTTTCACAAAAAATCCACCTTCATACAGCCTTTATCCACTCATTCAGGAAATAGATATATTCTAACCTCAACCTGTTGCTATGCGTCATAAACTTTGAAAAATAAATGAGGTTACCCAGCATATTTGTACATAAATACATCAAAAGCGTTCATTTAACCCAACCAAAGCTGCCTGCAAACTTCTGTGTAATTAAGTTTAGTCAAAACTAAGATTCAGAATCAGTTCTATGTTGTCATTTAGCTTTTAAGTTGGAATGTAATTCAATTTGACTGCTAATTAATATATGAATGAATGGTAAAGTTTTAACTTCAAGTAAGCATAAAGAAATGGAAATATAGAAAGCGTCATCATATCATACCATCATCATATCCGATGCCCAAACCAATCCTCAGAGAAGGTCAAGTGATGGACTGTCTGGGACAAAATGGCTGATTCATTAACAACTGATTTGTATTTACTCTTCAAATCTTGATTAAAATGACATAGAAAGGCTTGGGAAAAGAACTACATTTTTCTTTGGGATGTGTTTGTCATACGGGATGTCTGAGGATTAAGAGAAGGTAAAAAATACTTTAAAACATTTTATAATTGCACATGTTGCGTCCACACAGTCTTTTTGTGAAGTAGAAGTTCGTAGGTCCACAATTAGTCCATAAATCTGAAACGTCTTCCATGTATCAAGTATATCACTCTCAAAGAGGTCTTTTATTCAACCGCTGTATACAGTTTTCCACCATAATGTCTTTATGTGAACGTTTTTTTAATTCTCCTGTCAACCATTTTAGGCCACAGTCACGACTCAAGTGCAGCATCTTTTTTCAGAGAGGGTCCTGGGAGAGCAGCCCCTGTCAGGTCGCGTATTTGAGTTTAGGGGTCTGTGAATTACAGGAGATACTGGACAGAGAAGGAAACCCAGTGGTAGTCGCATTGCTTTGGCTCTCCACAAACATCGGGTCCAGGCAGGCGACCTTGGCAGCAAAAAAAGCGTGAATACAATGAAGCACGGCGAAGAGGTTTGAAAACTCCAGCTCCTTTTTAAGAGAAAGAAAAAAGAAATCAATACTCAAGTCATATGTAAGTAATTAGCATGGTTGATTTGAAAGCCTTGTTGAATGACCTTTTCACTGAAATGCAGAAGTGATATGTCAAAGTGAATTACCTTTGCTTCAATAGACTTGGAGTCTTGATTTTGGAATAAAAACTTGATCTTGCTTTTTCCATCGTCAGATGATCCTTTTAGTTGGGAGAACTTGTATCTCCACAGAACTGCCTTAAAGGAGAAATTACAAAATGTAAAAATGGATCTAAACAAATAAATCACAACTATAAATCTTGATTTACTGAACTCATTATTCTGTCACTATTTCATGAATAAATAACATAAAAAATCCACATGGACCCAGGGAGAAATGGGGCACGTCAATAGATAAGCCAGATAGAAGCTTGTTATTTGTATGCCATTGGGAAATTTAACAAGACACAGCTATTTTACCTGAAATAGCCTCAGTGATTCAATTAGGGTCGGACTGAATAAACAAAAGCTGCACAGTGAGCCAGACAACATCAGGATGACTTTCAGGTAGACAGCTGTGCTTTCACATGAATATGTATTCATGCCACCGTAATAATTACTTTGACACCAACCTGATTAATTGTCAATGACATAATGAATGTTAAAACATAACACACAAGAAGTGTCTCTGGGATATTTGGCAAAGAGTAAAGTCAGAGAACGTTCATGAAATAATACCAGTCTAGCAGGGAGTGTCGCCTCTCCTCTAATAAAATCTCATATGACTGTGACAGAGGTGACAATGTCTCAATATCTCTCCTGTCAATCAAAACCGCCTATTCTAAAACTAAATCTGTATTGTGGTCTTTATGAAAAACTCTGTGTTCATTCAGTTTCTTCTTAAGGTTAAATCGTCATGAGAATATGTCTACCACAAAGTGTTATTTTGGTTAAAGTAGGTTTAATAATGCTTTATCTATACCTTATATTTCTACTCTATTTTACTTGTATGTGACGGCTGCAGATACTTTACAGCAGGGATATTCAATTGGCGGCTCGCGGGACAAATGCGGCCCCGGGGTGATATTTACTGGCCCTTTGAGTATAATGGTAAAAAGTAATCTACTTTTCTTTTTCTTTTTTTTTTTAAATAATCTTTTTTGGGACAGAGTGCCTTTATTCCAGAGAGGGTGTTACATTGAGAGATAGAGTCGAAGACATTGCCTGACAACTTTGGCGGGCTCGGGTTTCGAACCCAGCTACTGTAGTGACAACTCCTGTCATTTATTGCATCTCTGCGTGAATGATTAGATAATTTCACCTAAATGAAATCAAATGAAATGATGTTGATGGTTAAATTAGCTTCACATGTAGGCCTACTGAGTTCTCTCTCTCTAGGTCGTCCTCAGACGAGCCCTCCATCGTTGCTTCCAGTCATCCCGGTTCTCCACACATCTGGCCAGTTCATTGGTACTTTGTGCTCCTGCGTCATTCTTGAGTACGTCCACGTATGTTTGTGCGGGACGTCCTCGTGACCGATGGCCGTGTGTTGGTTCCCACAGCACCAATTTGCTGGCTGGCAGCTCTTGATGCCTTTGGCAATGTCCTGCTAGTCTCATTCTCCTGGCTGCAATTTTCTCGCTCACCCTTGGTATTCCCTCGTACAGGATCTTGTTGGTTACATGTACACTCTTGCTGATGTTAAGTACTGCTCGCAACATTCTGGTGTAGCATCCGTCTTGAGACTTTTGCAGGGTTGGCTTCAGGGTCCAGCATTCACTGCCATAGAGGAGAACAGACTCTATCGTTGCATAGAAGAAGCTGAGTTTGATTTGACGGGGGAGGTTGGATTTCCATACACTGGTCATGCCGTTCAGGGCCCTCCATGCAAGTGCCTTCCTCACCTTAAGATCTTGCTCGGTTGAGTTGACCCATGAGCCCAGGTACTTGAAGTCCTTGACTTCTTTAAGCACAGTGCCTTCTGTTGTTGTCAGAGGTGGATGTTCCGGTAAGATGTTATAGGTGATAACCTCAGTTTTCTTGGCGTTTAGCCTAAGGCCAACCTTGGCACACTCTGACTCCACTCTGTTCTGGAGTTCCTGTGCTTGCTCCACGCTGTCGGAGAGCAGGCTGATGTCGTCCGCATAGTCCAGGTCTGTCAGGACTACTGTGGGGTGTCACCAAAGAGTTTACTGGATGGGGTGGAAAATTAAAATGAATTGATTTGGGTTCTGGTTTTGGTTCGTTTTCTTTTTGTAGGTTATAGTTGGATTATCTTATTTGGTTTATAATCTTGTCATTTCTCTTATGTCGTATTTTTGGGAGGTAATATGTTCCTCCCCCCGTCGACAGTAACAATACCATAATTTATAAATAATATAACCTAAAGAAATGACCGGAGGTAATTTCAAATTCCGTAATCACAAACGTCGACCAGCTTCACTGATTATGTTATATAAAGAGAACCATTACATTAGATGTCGTAAAACATATATTAACATAAAGAAATCCACTTTGGATTTAGACATTTCCGTCCAGTAAGTAAGGCAACCTTCCCCGGCCAATTACTACTTTTACTAGGGTTTCGTTCCCTGACCCTTTTTCTACCTAAACTTCTATACTGTTAGATAATTCTCGAAGTCTTGTCACTTTATGATGTTGTCGTATCACCTCACGTATATAACACAATTAATTTAGTTTGTTTGTATCGGGTTCCGGAA